TGTTAGGTTTTATTGGTAGAGGGATTGAGTTTCGGAGCCATGAGGTCATGTTGCAGCTGTACAAAACTCTGGTGCGGCCATACTTGGAGCATTGCATACAGTTCTGGTCGCCGCATTATAGGAAGGATTTGGAAGCATTGGAAAGGGTGCAGAGGAGATTTACCAAGATGTTGCCTGGTATGGAGGGAAGGTCTTATGAGGAAAGGCTGAGGGACTTGAGGCTGTTTTCGTTAGAGAGAAGAAGGTTAAGAGGTGACTTAATAGAGACGTACAAGATGATCAGAGGATTAGATAGGGTGGACAGTGAGAGCCTTTTTCCTCGGATGGTGATGGCTAGCACGAGGGGACATAGCTTTAAATTGAGGGGTGATAGATAAAGGACAGATGTCAGAGGTAGGTTCTTTACTCAGAGAGTAGTAAGGGCGTGGAATGCCCTGCCTGCAACAGTCGTAGCCTCGCCAACTTTAAGGGCATTTAAATGGTCATTGGATAAACATATGGATGATAATGGAATAGTGTAGGTTAGATGGGCTTCAGATTGGTTTCACAGGTCGGCGCAACATCGAGGGCCGAAGGGCCTGTACTGTTCTGTAATGTTCTATGTTCTATGTTCTATGGCCCTTGTCACCGACTGCCATCCTGAGACAGACCATTTTACCCCATTCTCTGCTTTCTGCCAGAGAGCCAATCTTCTATCCATGCTAGCACCTTGCCTGGGCCCTTATCTTACTCAGCAGCTTCCTGCGTGGCACCTTGTCAAAGGCCTTCTTGAAGTCCAGGTGATAACATCCATTCGTTCCAATTGGTCTAACCTGCTCATTATTTCCTCAAAGAATTCTAATAGATTTGTCAGGCATGACCTCCTCTTGATGAATCCATGCTGATTTGCCCTATTTTACCATACACTTCCAAGTATTCAGAAATCTCATCCTTCACAATGGACTCCAAAATCTTACCCACGACTGAGGTTAGGCTAATCGGCCTGTAATTTTCCGTCTTTTGCCTTACTCCCTTTTTAAACAGGGATGTCATGTTAGCAATTTTCCAGTCCTCTGGGACCCTCCCTGACTCTAGCGATTCCTGAAAGATCACCACTAATGCTTCCACTATCTCTTCAGCTAGCTCCTTAAGAACTCTGCGGTGTAGTTCATCTGGTCCTAGTTATTTATCCACCTTCAGGCCATTCAGTTTTTCTAGCACCTTCTCCTTGGTGATGGCCACCATACTCAGGTCTGCCCCACTTGTCATGAATACATGCAGGAATAGGACAAAGGGCTGGATTTATTGATATTTGCTACCAGAGATTCCCCAAATGAATCTACTGAGTTTGGTTGATAGGGTTGCAATGGTAGGGAATTTAAACTCTCTAAACATACACTGAGATTGCCATAGTGTTGAGAGAGGAATTTGTTAAATGTGGATAAGAATATTTTCTTATTCAGTATGTGGATGTATCAACCAGAGAAGGAGCAAAACTTGATCTTCTGTTGGGAAATAAGGCAGGGCAAAAGGTTATCAGTGGGAGAGCACTTTGGAGACAGTGATCTTAATTCTATTAGTTTTAAAGTAGTGATTGAAAAGGGAAGTCTAAGAGTTAAAGTTCTAAGTTGGAATAGGGCCAATTTTGACAGTATTAGGCAAGAGGAGGGGCTTTTCGCTGATAAAGGGATGGTTAGAAAATAGGATGCCTTCAAAAATGAGAAAAGGAGAGTCCAGAGGCAGTATGTTCTTGATAGTATGAAGGGCAAGGCTGGTAGGCTTAGGGAATGCTGGATGATCAAAGAAGTTGGGGCTCTGCTGAAGAAAAAGGAGGAGGGATAAAGCAGGTACAGATAGCTGGGATCAAATGAATCCCTCAAGGAGTATAAGGTCAGTAGAAGTATGCTCAAGAGGGAAATCAGGAGGGCAAAAAGGGGTCATGAGATAATGTTGGCAAGTAGTGTTAAGGAGAATCCAAAGAGATTCTACAAATACATTAAGGGCAAAAGAGTAACTAGGGAGAGGATAGGGCCCCTTAAAGATCAGCAAGGCCACCTATGTGTGGAACCGCAGCAGATGGGGGAGATACTAAATGAGTATTTTGTATCAGTATTTACTGTGGAGAAGGATACAGAAGCTAGAGAACTTAGGGATTTAAATAGTGATATCTTGAAAAGTATCCATATTACAGAGGAAGAGGTGCTGGACCTCTTAAAATGCTCATAGGTGGACAGATCCCTCGGTCTTGATCAGGTACATCCCAAAACTTTGTGGGAAGCTAGGGAAATGATTGCTGGGCTCCGTGCTGAGATATTTGCCTGATCGATAGCCATGACTGAGGTGCCAGAAGAGTGGACGGTGGCTTATGCGGTGCCATTATTTAAGAAAGGTGGTAAGGAAAAGCCAGGGAACTATAGACCAATGAGCCTGATGTCAGTGGTGGGTACGTTGTTGGAGGGGATTCTGAAGAACAGGATTTACTGTATTTGAAATGGCAAGAGCTGATTAAGGATATTCAATATCGCTTTGTGCATGGGAAATCATGTCTGAATAACTTGATAGAATTTTTTGAAGAGGTGACAAAGAAGGTTGATGAAGGCAGAATGATGGACGTTGTCTATATGGACATTCAACAAAATTCCATATGGTAAAAACTGAAAGAAGTGAGGATGCTGCAAATTGGGAACTTCTGTTTTTGTTCCATATGGTAGACTGGTTAGTAAGGTTTGATCACATGGAATACAGAGAGAACTAGCCATTTGGATACAAAATTAGCTTGAAGGTAGGAGACAGTGAATAGTGGTGGAGGGTTGTTTTTCAAAACGGAGGCCTGTGACCACTAATGTGCCACAAGGATCCATGTTGAGCCCACAGCATTTTGTCATTTATGAAAATGTTTTGGATGTGAACATAGGAGGTATGGTTAGTAAGTTTGTAGATGACACCAAAATTGGTGTAGTGGACAGTAAAGAAAGTTATCTCAGAGTACAATGGGACTTTGATCAGATGGACCGATGGGCCAAGGAGTGGCAGACGGAGTTTAATTTAGATAAATGTGAGGTGCTGCATTTTGGAAAGAAATCATGGCAGGACTTATACACTTAATGGTGAGGTCCTGGGGAGTGTTGCTAAACAGAGACCTTGGAGTGCAGCTTCATAGTTCCTTGAAAGTGGAGTCGCAGGGAGACAGGGTAGTGAAGAAGGCATTTGGTATGCTTGCGTTTATTGGTCAGTGCATTGAGTATAGGGGTAGGGAGGTCATGTGTGGCTCTACAGGACATTGGTTAGGCCACTTTTGGAGTACTGTGTTCAGTTCTGGTCTCCCTGCTATAGGAAAGATGTTGTTTAACGTGAAAATGATCAGAAAAAAATTTACAAGGGTGTTGCCAGGGTTGGAGGGTTTGAGCTATAGGGAGAGGCTGAACAGACTGGGGCTATTTTCTCAGCATCAGAGGCTGAGTGGTGACCTTAGAGAGGTTTATAAAATCATGAGGGGCATGGATAGGGTAAATAGCCAGGGTCTTTTTTCCAGGATAGGGGAGTCCAAAACTAGACAGCAGAAGTTTGAGGTGAGAGCGAAAGATTTAAAAGGAACCTACCTGAGGGGCAACTTTTTTACACAGAGTGTCTTGTGCGTATGGAATGAGCGGCCAGAGGTGGTGGTGGAGGCTGGTACAATTACAACATTTAAAATGCATCTTGATGGGTAGATGAATAGAAAGGGTTTAGAGGGATATGGGCCATATGGTGGCAAAAGGGGCTAGATTAATTTGGGATATCAGATCTGCATGAACGAGTTGAGCCGAACGGGACGTACATCTCAACGACTCGTGAGATGAGCTATTGGCTGTTTAATCCCTCCTTGCTAAACTTCTCGTTTTCACTTTCACAATTTTAGGTATATACGGTTTGATGGTACAGAACGGAAATCGCTCCCGTTTCTAAAGGTAAGTCATTTCGTCAATTGAAAGGAAAGCGTGCGATTGTTCTCTGTCCCGTTACTCATTTAGATTAACTTTATCCTGCCTTTTAACAACTTGTCGTTCTATTCTCGTAAACACACAGCCTGTGCATCCTAAAACTTCAATGTCCGAACCGCTGCTGAGTTGATTTCACCTTTCCAGCTTTTATCTTCCTGTGCTGAGGATGTTGTTTAAATTGGAAAGGGAGTTTACAGCCTTCCATCCAGAGGAATGGAAATGATCTGAGAAGGTTTCACAGTCAAATCTTGTTCTTATACTCATGACTAACTTTCCGGTTGAAACGGCTGGATTTTCTGTAGCAGGGATGATTCCGCAGCTACAAAATCAAGACCAATTCTAAAGATCCGGAACGCAAATGATGCATCAACTAATTCAGCATTCATGTAGTAAAGCCTTCCAAAAGCAGAATTTCAGCTTGGTTTCATTTACTCCCTTCCAGTGGTCCACACTGCCCTGCTCAGAGAATACTGCAAGCGCAGCCTGCATCTGATCTCGGTAATAACCATTCTTAACGTGCAGAATTGTTTTCCAAGTGGCTTATGCGAAACCCCTCGTGTAACAGGCCCAGTCTCACAACTAGCACGTTGGGGCTGTTTTCTTTCAAGGAAAGGGACAAGCTGGTTAGTGTTCCAACAGAGAGCTTGACAATTCTGAAAAGTTTTGATACAGCAAACATAGAGTCAATGTTTCCCCTTTTGGGGATTTCAAAAGTACGTTTCATAATAAGTACAAGTTAAATCGTTAGCAAATCCATTATGGAGCACAGGAGAAAGTTCTACTCAGAATGGTTAGAATGCTGAATAGCATTGTGTGGTCGAGACATATCAGAAGCATTTAAGCCAAGGCTAAACAAGTACTTAGAATCATAGAGTTGTACAGAGCATAGATAAATCCTCTGGGCCAGACTAGATATACCCAAGCAGGGGAAGAGATTGCTGTGCCTTTGGCGATGATCTTTGTGTCCTCACTGTCCACTGGAGTTGTACCAGATGATTGGAGGGTGGCAAATGTTATTCCCTTGTTCAAGAAAGGGAACGGGGATAATCCTGGGAATTACAGACCAGTCAGTCTTTCTTCTGTGGTGGGCAAATTATTGGACAGGACTCTGAGAGATAGTATTTATGATTATTTGGAAAAGCACAGTTTGACTAGAAATAGTCAGCATGGCTTTGTGAGGGGCAGGTCATGCCTCACAAGCCTTATTGAATTCTTTGAGGATGTGACAAAACACATTGATGGAGGTCGAACAGTGGATGTGGTGTATATGGATTTTAGCAAGGCATTTTTTAAGGTTCCCCATGGTAAGCTCATTCAGAAAGTTAGGAGGCATGGGATTCAGGGAGATTTGGCAGTCTGGATACAGAATTGGCTGTCCAATTACAAGATAGAGGGTGTAGTGGATGGAAAGTATTCAGCCTGGAGCTCAGTGACCAGTGGTGTTCCGCAGGAATCTGTTCTGGGACCTCTGCTCTCTGTGATCTTTATAAATGACTTGGATGAGGAAGTGGAAGGGTGGGTTAGTAAGTTTGCTGATGACACGAAGGTTGGTGGATTGTGGACAGTGTGGAGGGCTGTTGTAGATTGCAACGGGACACTGACAGGATGCAGAGCTGGGCAAAGAAGTGGCAGATGGAATTCAATCCAGAAAAGTGTGAAGTGATTCATTTTGGAAGGTCGAATTTGAATGCAGAACACAGGGTTAATGGCAGGATTCTTGGCAGTGTGGAGGAACAGAGGGATGTTGGGGTCCACATTCTTAGATCCCCCAAAGTTGCTACCCAAGTTGATAGGGTTGTTAAGAAGGCGTATGGTGTGTTGGCTTTCATTGGCAGGGGAATTGAGTTTAAGAGCCGTGAGGTTATGCTGCAGCTCTATAAAACTCTGATTAGACCACACTTGGAACATTGTGTTCAGTTCTGGTCACCTTGTTATAGGAAGGATGTGGAAGCTTTAGAGAGGATGCAGAGGAGATTTACCAGGATGCTGTCTGGACTGGAGGGCGGGTCTTATGAGGAAAGGATGAGGGAGCTAGGGCTTTTCTCATTAGAGTGAAGAAGGATGAGAGGTGACTTGATCGAGGTGTACAAGATGATGAGAGGCATAGATAGAGTGGATAGTCAGAGACATTTTCCCAGGGTGGAAATGGCTATTACGAGGGGGCATAATTTTAAGGTGATTGGAGGAAGGTATAGGGGAGATGTCAGAGACAGGTTCTTTACACAGAGAGTGGTGGGTGCGTGGAATGCGCTGCCGGCAGTGGTAGTGGAGTCAGATACATTAGGGACATTTAAGTGACTCTTGGATAGGCACATGGATGATCGTAAAATGTAGGGAATGCAGGGTAGTTTGATCTTAGAGTAGGATAATAGGTCGGCACAACATTGTAGGCCGAAGGGCCTGTATTGTGCTGTACTGTTCTATGTTTTATGCAAACAGACCCTTCGGTCCAACTGGTCCATGCTAACCATGTTCCCAAACAAAACTACTGTAGTCCCATCTGCCTGCATTTGGCCCATATCGCTTCAAACACTTTTTATTCATGTACTTATCCAAATATCTTTTAAACATTATAACAGTATCACATGCACCACTTCCTCTAGAAGTTCATTCCACACATGAACCACTCTCTGTGTAAAGATAAACTGCCTCTCATGTCTTTTTAAAATCTTTCTCCTCTAACCTTAAAAATATGCAATCTAGCTTTGAAATCCCCTACCCTGGGGAAAAGGTGCCTGCCTTTCACCTTATTTATGCCCCTCATGATTTTATAAACCTCTGTAAGGTCACCCCTCAATTTCCCATGCTCCAATGAGCCTATCCGGCCTCTCCTTATAACTTGAACCGTCCATTCCCGGTGAGGGAGAATCAGGTTCATGAAGCAAACCACGTGAAACGATATGCACTTTGGCTGAGTCAATGGTTTTGGTGCTGTATAAGTCTTTGCAATTGTTCGTACTGTTGACTTTCTCATTTGAAACGTAATTAATTGGTGTTTTGTATTTAACTGAAATATTGTCAGTTGATTAAGTAATGGAAGAGATTTTACCTGCTGTAGTTTGTCACTTTTTTGAATGATCAAATATCCATTGCAATTGATGTAAATAAAGAATTAAACATGGAGTTGAAGTTGGTGACAGTTATTGTTCATTTGTGGTATATGTATATGTGCAAACTAGCAACCTGCAGGAAGATTGTGGTTCACACGTTTATGCAGCTTAGAGCTGTTTATCTTACTGTAAGAACATGAGTGATTTCAGCTGAAATATTCAACACTAGGGTAAAATTTAAGATGGGGGTTGGGGGGTTGGAAAGTTTAAAGAAGATGTGCGAGGAACCTTTTAGGTTAGTTGAAATGTGCTGCCAGGGGAGGTGATAGAAGCAGATACGATTGCAAAGTTTAAGAGACATTTAGACGGAAAAATAAACAGGCAGGGAATTGGAGGATATGAGCTAAGTTTATCATTCTTTGAAGTTTGCATCACAGGTAGACGTGGTGATTAAGAAGGCATTTATCATGCTTAGTTTTATTGCTCACACCTTTGAGTATGGGAGTTGGGGCATCATGTTGAGGTTGTACAGGACGTTAGTGAGGCCTCTTCTGGAGCACTGCGTATAATTCTGATTGCCCTGTTATAAGAAGGATATTATTAAGCTGGAGAGGGTTCAGAAGAGATTTACCAGAATGTTGCTGGGAATGGAGATTTTGTGTTATAAGGAGAGGCTGGATAGGCTGGGACGCAGGAAGTTGAAGGATGACCTTATAGAGGTTTATAAAATCATAAGGGATTAGATGAGGTGAATGGCAGGTGTCTTTGCCCTAGGAGAATTTCAAGACTAGGAGGCATATTTTTAAAGTGAGAGGAGAAAGATTTAAAAAGGACATGAGGGTCGACTTTTAACACAGAGAGTGGTTCATGTGTGAAATAAACTTTCAGAGGAAGTGGCAGATGCGGTACTGATACAACATTTAAAAGACATTTGGATCAGTACATGAATAAAAAATGTTTGGAGGGATATGGGCCAAGTGCACGCAGGTGGGACTAGTTTAGTTTGGGATTATGGTCAGCATGGACTGGTTGGACCGAAGAGTCTGTTTCTGTGCTGTATGACTCCATGAATGTATGTGTAGGCAGATGGGATTAGTTTAGACTAGCATTATGGTTGACACAGACATGGTGGGCTGAAGGGCCTGTCCTGGGCTGTTCTGTTCTATGTTCTATGTTCTATGTTTTAAATTCTATGTTCTGGCTAGCAGCAGTTTGCTGCTGTGCTTCTGAGTCATTTTGTCCAGGTCCCAATTAAGAGTAAGAAAGCAAAATACTTGAACACATTTGGCATTACAACTTTACAAAAGATGCAACATTACTAAACACATTTGCCGAAAATATTCTAGCACATCACCAGGAAACGAACCTTTCTGAGATCAATGCTTTTTTAAATAAAGCACTGAATGCTGCTGTTTGTGGTTATCACATATACGGACTGAAGAGAAAGAGCAACCATCAGAGATATTTGTTTCTTTGATAAACATAATATCTTGTTTCCAGTCCCCAACCTATGTGATACTCCATTTCAAATCTTATACCCTTCCCCATATAACCATTACAGTTTGATGACCTAGAAACAAGTCCCACCAATGAATACTGTCCCTTGCTCTTTCTTAGAAAATGGCCATAATTCCTGGCTACAATTTCATCAGTCCTAGCCAGGGAAATATGTACCTCCTGTTCTTCTTTGAAATGATATCACACGACCTTTACATGCAACTCAGAAAGCAGATAGGATCCTAGTTTAATATATCACCTGATGGTGCAGTGCTTCCTGAGTACACAACTTGAGTGTTAATTGTGTAATGAGGAATTAAACTGAGTCAAATCTTCACCATGGGTCAGGTTTGTTGTTTTTGTGTTGGGATCTATAGGACCTGCTTGATTTAGTGTGGAAAAGTAAACCATTTAATGGTC